GGGAATCCTTAATCATAGGTGATGATAACATAGGCATGGTCATGCGCAGATGCGCAGATATGCAAATTTTATCAATTCTTCGGCGAAAAGCTACAAAGTGAATTTTGAAGGCCAGTCCGCTTGGCTATACAGGTGAATCAAACCCTCGTGCGAACAAACTATTTTATCTGTCAAAAATGAGAGTATGTTTAATCTCTAGGTTCTACGTGTCTCATTATTCCACTGTATACGTGTAGTCGATAGTCTTTAATGAAAGCAGTTTTACCCAACGAAAACCGACATACCTAATACTTCAGATCATGCTAATTTGCCTACCGACTTTAAGAGATAGATGTTGAAGAATAGTGAAATCTGGGCAATACGAGGCCGCTGGAACAGAGGATACATGTTATCGATCGATTTAACATTAAATTCTCGCACATCTAACCGATACGAATCACCAAGTCGACGCCAGAGAATCCTTTCAGATTGGCAACTTTGCACCAACAACCTACAGTGGAACCTCGGTTAGCGAGTTTAATCAGTTCCAGCACCGAGCCCGTCTTGCGAAACATAGTTAATCAAACTGCAGCAGTTTATTGATTGGCTGTAGATGACCGCGGACCCATGCCCTGGGAGCAAAACTCAATGGTGGACACAGGCACACACACGCACTGACAACTCGTTAACTGAGCGGAAGCTTGCCAATCGATACACCTTTACTGCGAGTGGCTCGCCCGTTACCTGAAATCCTCGAAGATGGGACTGCTCGTCACGCGAAGCCCGACTGTACTCTAAAAGCCTACTGAAAAGGGTGCTAACAACAACCGGGGCTGTGGCTAGCCATTTAGCGAACCCGGCACTTTGTTTACAGAAGACGTTGGTGTAGGCGTCTATCCTCCCTGGCACACTTCCTCCCAAAGTTCCAACGCCCTCGGTACATCATGAAGGCTACATGAGAAAAAAGACTGGCACTAACAATTCCCCCAGGGACACATATAAACTCTGTCAGGAGTTTATTCTCCATGTCAGTGTAGTTGCATGGTGATAAATTACTGAAGGCATCTGTCTGCCAATTAACTTTTCAAAAAAGATTTATTTTTTACCTTTAAATTGAAGGTCTCCACAAGAGCAGTTTCCCGAAGTGTGAGAGTGTTGCCGACACTGCGAACTTCCAGACCCTCCGTCGTCATGCCTACGCCCAGTTCTGGGTGGTCATGAATTCCATGTTCGATGATGTCGGCAATGTACTTCAGAGCCTGCGCATACTGCTTCATTTGGTAATAACAGAGGGCAATATTGTACGCTATGGTGGGCTGGAATCCCACGACCTGAAATAATTGCGCGAAAAAGGCCAAAAGGATGTCTTTTATCATATCAGCATGAGAGGCTGATTTAGTGCAAAAAAAATAAGTTAATTCCCACTGAATACAGCCGAAATTCTGAAATAAGACTGAGATCCAGCGAAGCTATCCTGAAAATTTAAACGCTAAAGAATTACTTAAACGACAGAGACGGTCCCCTCAAAAAACGAAGAAGTGTTAAAGTCCCACCACAAAAAAAGCGCCAAATATAGTCAAGAAAATCGCTGTTTATTTACATGCTACTGGTGGTTTTTGTACAACATTTTAGTCAGTATCCCTGCTGTAAATTGATTGGTTGCCAATATTTTGTATTTGGCTCTGGGTGTGTTCCTTTGAGCGTCCAAAATCTGCAACCAATACACCAATTACCCCAGAGATCGGCATCCCCTCTACTCAAGTAATTTATGCATTCATTGGCATATGAAACTGGATGCCGTGCAAAAAACGTCAATGAGATTTGCGAGAGACGAGCGCCAATCAGAACAGGCTGATGCACATGGCGGCCGCTTACTAACGCAAAAGCAAAACCAGCACTGCATTTCTCGATAAATGTAGAATCAGAGAGGGAAATTCAGAGAGTATGGACAGCTTGATACAGAACTGGTTCAGACTTATTCTCCGTTCATTCAGTCAGTCAAAATCCTGGCCACCGCCCGTCACCAAAGACACAAATCCGCGCTCACACACGGCGTAACAGGTCCACATACGGCATCAAGCGGATAAGCCGTAAGCACTTCGTAGAACCGAAATTTATCGAAGCCTCGCCACTTGCCATTCCCTGTTCCTGCAGCGTAAACAATTATTCAGTCATAAATGGGCGCACACCGACCTTTTGGCTTTCAGAAATACACAAGTTCCACCTACTGGCTCGTATCATTCGGCATTGCTTATAAGCCGAGGTACTGTATTCCTGGAGTAATAATCACACACGTGATTATTTTACTCACATTAAGTGAGTAGTTGTGTATGTTTACGCTTTTTAAATAACCGACAGATGTTCGCTTTTCGTCTGCAATCATGTAAACAACCCTTTGTTGATTTGTTTGCTGTATCGATGCATTTCTTAGATACTGTGTTACGAATAGGTGGTATAAAGGCGTGCGCCTAGCTTTCCTTTGATAAAAGGAACAGAACTGAAAAAAGTCCCAAATGGCTGCCAAAGATCACGAAAATGTAGCAACTTACAACCTTCAAGCCGGTCGGGCAGGGGTTAGAGGTTAGATATGACAGAGAATGCAGGTAGACTTAAACAGAACCGTTTTGGGGGGTTGTTCTGTCTCCAGTCAACCGAGCATAACTCTGACCAAGACCTGGAACCAGAAAACCAACATGCGCACGCAGATAGGCTGCGACTAGGGTCTGCCAGATGGGTCATAAGCGCTCCATCGAACTGAATTTCGTATATTTATATATTATGAAGGTATGGAAGATGGTTTACCCATCACCTTACGGAAAGTGTTCGTCCCGTTGTGCCTTATGACTTAAGCCAACGACTTGGTAGCACACCGACTTATAGAGAGATGTGTTTGCAATAACAAAAGACACCGGGATGACTATCTCTAGCTTATTAGTCGTTAGAGCGGTTAGAGCTTTGGTTTCCGGGCAAAGGCCTTCTCTAATAAGAGGGTTCAAATCCCGCCGAACGCCTCGAGTTTTTTCACAATTGCGTCAACTCAAATTATTAGTCGTCATTAGCCCACCATACTCAATGCCAGATTTGGAAGACCACAGACTAGAATCCGGGTTCAACCTTTTTGAGTACAACAGTCTAGAATTCAGTCATGGGCCCACTGCCTTAGTGGTTGTGATCGGGAATATTAACTATGGTGGAAGAGTAGTTAACCGATATGATTATGAAGTATACATGCTCATTCTATTTTCTCTTGGTCTCAAGAAAACGCCCAAATGGACTCATTTG